CCTGCGGACAGGGGCGGATCTACATATGGGCTTTTTGGGCTGTAGCTCAGGGCCCCATGGATACAATGGGCCCCTGGATACAAAGCTTTTCTGATTGGAAACATATAGGGAGTTGTTTAGAAAATTACGAAAATTCTAATGAACATAAGAAATCAATGTTAGTGTGTTTGACACAAAAAGAAAATAGGTCTGTTTTTTAGACAAACAGTTTCAGGAGCAATTTAAAAAAGAAACAAAATATTATCACAATGTTCTAAAACGGGTTATTTTAGTGATAAATTTTTTAAGTAACAGGGGCCTAGCATTTAGAGGTTCTGAGGAAGTATTTGGTTCTCCACATAATGGCAATTTTTAGAGCTGTTAGCAGAGTTTGATCCATTCATTCGTGAACACATTGAACAGCGAGAGCTACGTCCAAAACCGATAATATCGTACTTATCGAAAACAGTATACGAAGAAATAATCGAGATTATGGGCCGACACATATCGAAAACAGTATACGAAGAAATAATCGAGATTATGGGCCGACACATAATTAAACAAATTATAACTCAAATAAATAACGACGACACAAATTATTATTCAATCGTTATGGATTCTACTCCAGATCTGTCTCACAATGATCAACTTGCTATTGTACTACGATACTGTTTTCGGGGAAAAGTATATGAAAGATGTGTTTCCTTCATTAAAATTAGTAGTCATACTGGCTTACATTTATTTAATATTCAACAAGTATTTTTAGAAACAAATGGACTACCATTGAAAAATATACCATTGAAAAAGAATAAATACGCGGTATATGTGCCATGTGCTGCGCATTCTCTTAACCTAGTTGGTGAAGAAGCTGTTAAGGTAGCAACCGAAATTGTAAACTTTTTTGGAGTAGTGCAAAAAATAAACGTTTTCTTCTCTACTTCGAGTCATAGCTGGGAACTGTTAAATCGTGAAACAAAAATCAAATTTACTTAAAAAAGTTTAAGTCAGACCAGATGGTCTTGTCACTACGATACTGTCAAAGCTTTAAAAAATAATTATGAAAAGTTATGAAAATTTTCAAAAGTTTCAGCGAAAATGAGAATGAGAAAGTTGATTTCCGAAAAGAAGCACAAAATTTATTCAATAAAATGGCGAAACTTGATACTGCAATTATGATTATTTTTTGGGAAGAAATTTTGGAAAGATTTCATTCAGTTAATAAAAAAATACGAAGCCCTGGTTTAGATATTTGTGAAGGTAACAAGTTAATAGTGTCATTAAAAGACTTCGTAAACAACATTCGTTACCAATCAGATCAGAAGCTAAAATAATATGAAGAGAAAGCTAAAAAATTAAGTACTAGTGTGGAAATAGACTACAATGATAAAAACAAAAGACGCATAACTCCAAAATTTTCAGATAAGTCTTCAGATAAATTCGCAGTTTACGGCGCAGAAAAATTTAAAAGAGAAGCACTAAATGTTGTGTTGGATAAGTTGATCATGGATTTAAAATAAAAGAAGTCTAGTCTATGAGACACATAGCAAGAAATTTAAATTTTTAATAGATTTGCAAGATAAAAATATGGAAAACGTAGACCAGGAAAGTGTACGTAATAATATTGATTATTATCCAGATGACGTAGACAAGCATTTAGTAAATGAGTGCGTTAAGTTAAAATCTTACTTTCTTCAGTGTAAACCAGAGTCTTACACTTTTTGCGATGAAATTTTTATGATAATTTATGAAAAGAACTTTTTTGATGTTTTCCCAAATTGCTATACCATATTAAAGATTTTTTTAACTTTGCCAATCACTAGCTGTGAAGCGCAGCGTTCTTTCTCCAGGATGACTTATATAGAAAATAAATATAGGACAACAATGTCGAACCATCGGCTTACTCATCTATCAGTTCTTTCCATAAATTGTGACTTAACGAAGGACTTACAATGTGATGAGCAAATTGAGGAATTTGCAGCACAAAAATACAGAAAGGTTGCTTTATAATCTATTATATTAACCTGTCAATTTCTTTTGCAATAATTTTGTAAAGTCATAATATATAAATAAAATTATTTTATTGTCCTATTTTCTCTTTATTTATGTCGTCTAAATAATTTGGTGAAAGGCTTATTTTGTTTTATTATTTCGATAAAATTTATATAGAACCACATCTGACTCTTAAGCTGTCTAATAAAAAAAAATCATTAAAATTGGTTCGTAAAAAACGAAGCTAACCGCGAACCAACATAAAAAAAGTATATATACGATCGAATTGAGAAACCTCTTACTTTTTAAAGTCGGTTGAAAATGGCTATTAGTTTAGTACGTATTTAGGTAGGCCCACCAAGTTTTAGCCCACGGCCCCACAAATTCACGATCCGCCCCTGCCTGCAGAACAAGCCCCGTGGACGGCCGGAGACCCAAGTTAATAAAGAAGAATTAAAGGCTATTGTGGAAGCTGATCCATCGCAAACCACGTCCGAGTTAGCTGCAGGCTGCGGTGTTAGTGATAAAACTGTTTTAATCCACTTGAAGCAAATTGGAATGATTAAAAAGCTTGAAAGGTGGGTACCTCACGAATTGAGTGAAGCAAATCGGCAAACGCGGTTCGACTGCTGCTTTACATTACTTAACCGGCACAATAATGAAGGGTTTTTAAATCGAATCATTACTTGTAATGAAAATTGGATTCTCTACGATAATCGAGAGCTCATCGCAATGGTTGGACCCTGGCATGCCAGCCGAATCCTGCCGCAAGTGAAAATTGACCCCAAAAAAGTTACTTGTAAGTTTTCTCAAATCTGGCCAGACGATTACGTCAGACGACTATTGTCAGAAATTGCAAACCATGTCGTTAAACAACCGAGGCTGGTCAATCGCTTTATGCTACTGCTACTTCACGACAACACTAGACCACACACTGCACAACAGACGGCTACCAAATTAGAAGAGCGTCAATTGGAATGTCTAAGACATCCACCGTACTCCCCGGACCTTGGTCCAACAGAATACTATTTTTTTCGAAATTTGGATAACTTCTTGAAAGGAAAAAAATCAACTCTGATGGGGCAGTGCAAATCGCCTTCAAAGATTTTATTGATTCCCGTCCGAATGGATTTTTTAGTAAGGGGATCAATAAACTACCTATGAGATGGCAAAATTGCATAGATAACAATGGTTTATACTTTGATTAAATTAATATATTATATTATAAAATATTCGACTTTTTGTTTTTCCCACACCAAACACCAATTTCATATATAAGGACCTTATATTTAATCACCGATTTAAGTAATTCAGTTTTAAGGTTTAATTTGTCACTTTCAGGAACGCATCGTTTGTTTTAAATAATTTGGTTGTAAATAGATATCTACTCAATATACGTATAAAACACCCAGCCAATACAAACTTACATGTTCATGCACATGGCTTTGTAATCAAGCCACGAATCACTACACCAAGATGGTATACAATGAGGAAGAATTTAAAAAAAAATAGTTCCCTAAATCAGGTGTCCCTACGGTACGTTCTTCATTTCTCCATGACAACCCTTCCGGTTTTCTTTCATGTTTAAAAGTAAATTAGTTTTCAAAACTCAGTAAACAGCTCTTATTCTATTTGTACTTTTTCGTATTTGTATTGATATCTAAGTTTCGAACTTTTAAAATTTCAATTTTTTAATAAGTTAGTTAAAAGGAACGGAAATGACTGTCTTTGGTCCTTTCGTTTCAAATCAACTTTTGCTAGAGTCGCCATCCAGTGGAGGTGCTTTTTTAGAGCTTTCGTTTTTTTTAAATACTTCCTCACTAGTGTTGAAACTTTGATAAAAAAAATATAATAGTACACTACTCAATGTATATGCTGAATTAGAACATCGAATATTTCAACAAAACTTGATTTTATTGAAAATACTTTGATTTTAAATTATAGCATTGTAAAATGACATTTACAACCCGAAAATATGATATTCATCTAATTGTATTGTTGATCGAATACATCCATACTTAAAAATACATGTTTCCTTTGCAGTAAAATAAAGACTGATTATAAAATGTTACGTTTTCTTTATTTCTTCTTCAAAACATGATCGTCGTAAGGAAGTTTCGGTTTCGGTTTCGACCCAATCTGAGACTGTTGACGAAATTCGTCGGTCGGGAGAAGTCAAAATATCAACATAAACTCGTTTGGTCCGGTTGGTATAATTATAGAAGACATATAGTTTTTTGTTTCAACTATCTATCTTGTAACTATACTACTTATTTAGACTAACAAACTCGAGAAACGCTTTGTCTACACTAATTTGTCAGTTTCTCGGGTCGAGAGTAGGATATAGTACGGGCACACGAGAAAAGTTACATTTGACTGTAGACAAAACGTTCGCCATGCTACGCGTGCAGATCTAGTAGACTTCTTCGCATGTGTATGTTTTTGCCACGCGCTGTCTGCTTCTCATTAGAAGTCTGTGGCATAACCCAATCTCCACAAAGTTGGCTAATCTTTAAAGGACAACAATATTTTAAACAAACAGCCAAACTCCAATCGTTTCTAAGCTTAACATATTATGGTAACACGAAAAATGTCGTATCTACTTACAACATGTGGGCTCTTCTTTCCTTTTCCCTTCAACGTGTCAGTATTTGAATGATAACTAAAAATAACTTTGTACTCTATATTAGCTAGATCCCTTTGCTTAAAACAGTACAAAAAATGATCTGACTTTTAGCTGTCAAAGGTAGCGTCAAAAATTAGTAAAGTGATGATAAAATTATTCGATTTCCAAAAACAATATCGAATTTGATTCATAATATGGAAAAATACAAAACCACGACTTCTTTAATAAACGATTGTCAATTTCAATTATTTATTTATAAAACAAAATGCTAAATGACATCGCGAAGTACAATCCGGACAAATGCTACAACCAATGCTTCCTCTACAGCAGTTACCCAAAATCTAGCATGCCTAGGCAGCGTGTTATCCAATGACTAAAAATTGACTCGGATATAGTATCGCAGATACAAAGGGTGGCAAAATGACAGTGTTTACAGTAGTCCTTTATCGCACAGCTAGAATACCCATAAGTACTAGGTACTAAAATCTAATAATAAACAGTGTTTCTTCGGACGTTCAACTTCCGGTTTGATACATTCGTCGTTATTGTTCTTCAAAAATAATGAAGTTATTATACAATTTATTTATAATAATCATACAATTAGTTTTGGAAAATAATAATGATAGATGTATCAAAGGATACAAAAATCATCGAGTGAAAATTTTATATTTCTTTAGAGGTGTTTATATACTCTTATTTACATTCAACTTATTGTAAATAACTTTATGATATCTGAACTCGATTCTCTGGTGAGAAAATTAATGTTGCATTAGATATCGATTAAAAGTCATATACCTAGTTTTAAATGAAATCGATTCTTCTAGTATCTGGTTTCAGATCGCATCCCTACGTTCTACAAATAATCAACTAAATATATTGATAAATACAAATATTCGAAAGGATTTTTGAGGATTCTGAAGAAAACGTTTAGATAGTATTTTATGTCTTGTTTATCTATTAACTCTACCTTATGTAATAAATAAGTCGATAGTTTTATATTCTAATTGGTATAAAACAGTCTTTGTATCATCATTATGATACGTTTTTTGTTTGACAAAATATAAAGGAATCCATACAACATTGTGCGTGTATTATCTCAGTAATATAAAATCTAAGTAATGACAAGTTTTCATGAACGACAGAAGAGCCTCTTCAATCAACTCAAAGATGCCGAAGAACAATATAGTTTTTCCAAATCAAATAAAGTTTCCGCCGAGCAAGATTTTGGAACAATAGATAGACAAACATACAGAAAAGTAAAACATGAAATGAGACAATTCAGAGGAAAAGAGAGTATTTTCAAAAGACCTGAAGCAAATATTCGAGAATGTTTGAGAGCCAAATCAGTACCAGGTTACATTAAAAATCCCAAAAAATGGAGTTATTACACACTTTCTGATGTAACACCTGATCAGATGTCTGATTCTACAAACACAGCTACAGCCCTAGCATTTATTCAAGAAATGGAGAATAAGGAAATGGCTAGCACAAAACCAGAGTCCAACAACAGTCAAGATGACTTTATTTTCAAAAAACCCACTTTCCGGGTTTCCTCTACAGTTAAAAGAGGAAACTTTTCTGATAATGAAAATATTGCAGAAATTAAAAACAATAAAATCATAATGCCTGAGTATGTTGTAGGAGTGTCAAAAAAAAGGGATAAAAAAGTTATAAGGCCTAGGCGCAAGTCTGTTGATATAACCAAGAGGGCAGATCTAAAACTAGATCACCTTTATGAAGATAATGAAGCTGAATAATAATTTATAATACTTGCTCTATTTTTAATCTAGAATTTATTGAATAAAATGCATAATGCATAACCAACATTAATTTTGTTTTATTATATTTCTTGAACAAGTAGGTAATAATATTTTTCTTAGCATGTGTACAATAAATTAAAAGAATGCTTATATTCAGAATTCTCTAAAACAAGGATTTTCTTTATGAAGTATCTAGTTAACATGTATGATTAACTCTCCTATTTGATTATAAATGATGAACACAATTTATATAAAATACAGTTTAATAGTAGTTCTATTGAATGGTCAGTTTACAAAACCTATTAACACTGTGATACTATTGCAGATTCAGACTTGATTTCCAAATTCTCTGATTGACTGTCTGTTTTGCTATCTGATGCAAATGCACTCAGGTCCCGCATCATGGAGTATGCGTCCTCACCATCTGCATAATATTTAGGCTCGATTTCAAGAATCTTAAAGCCAAGGGAGTTTGTATAAAGATTCAGTGCAGCTCTGTTACTCTTTCTTACATGTAAGGAAACATATTTGGCCTGTAACAAACTCAAATTAATAAACATTAAGCATAATTTAAAATGATATATAGTTGGTCCCCAAACAGAGAATTTCAAACAATGACCTGGCATTAAATATCTCTTTCACTTGTGTGCAAATATATGTGCTATTATACACAGATACATCTAACCAATTTTGCCATAGTAAAATTACCTAAAATGTTTACAATATCTATGAGTAGCCATAAAGGACAATGTATGAAGCTATTTCTGTTTGGTGACCAGTCCATAACTTCATTTAAAAAATCATTTGAAACAGTTTCAACTGCAAGGACATTTTTCCATTATTTAATATAAATATACTCATATAATAAATCTTCTGATGAAAGAGAAATTAACCACCTTTAATTATACCAAAACAAAGTTCCAATTAATTACCTGAAAGCACTCAACCATGGCTAGTGAAGCTTGATTCATTAATTTTTGAGCAAGACCAAGTCGACGATGTGATCTTTTCACTGCCAGGGATGTAATGTGACCATGACGGTTATCTTCACCATCTTCCTCCATTTTGGCCAACACATAACCTGTATTTGAATAAGTTAATCCTCAACAGTCATTGTCAATTTTATTTATAAATACAACACATGGTTGGGTTATCACAATATTAATTTTTAAGTACATCATAATAGTTCAATAAGTTCTTATTCTTACCAACAATATGTCCTTTTTCATCTTCAGCTACATAACTAAGCTGTGGCCAAGATAGGCCATGGTAGAAATAATATTTCATTTGATAATTCTCAGGCAAACAAAGCAGATTACAGTGTTGCATATTCATTAAATCGCTAGGGCGTGCACAACGGATATTCATTTTGAACTAGAAAATAAAAATCATTACTTATTATCAAACTTCAAAATAATTAAGTAATAAATCACTTCATAGTATTAAATTGGGAACATACATTTTTTTTTTTTTGTTTTAAGTAAAATAATTAATCTCTCCTTGCTTTCCTTAATTTACTATGCTGCCTTGTTTCAGATGCTGGAGGAGTGTCTGACATACCACCAAGCAACTCCCTGACAAAACGAAACTTTGAAAGACAGCACTTCCATACAATATACCAACCTGGAACAAAGAACAAAGGTAACAAAAATATATTTTTAAAGAATCACTTCCATACTTTGTAGTTGTCATTAAGTTTATGAAATAATTATTACTTACAGAAGAATACAAAACCAATAACTAAAAATATGCTACACAAAAGTAATAAAATTGCTAAAATTACTTCCTTCATAATATCGTACTAAGCATCAGTCTAAAAACAGCTAGAAGTAAAATACATTCACAAACTATTCGATAACCACTGTTTCTTTATATATAATTAAAGGCCTATCTCAGCAAAATAATAATATTTAACGTGAACGATGTTTACAAGCCGTAGTAAAAAAAGTAACACGCCATTTTGCACCCTAGATTCTTTGATATGCTTGCCGTAAAATGTGAACGTAAAAGTTCATTTTTACTTTAGTCACTAATTAAAGAGCGCTATTAGTGATGAATGACTGAAGTTTATAAAGTACCTTAGCGTTCTTTTTTCGATATAAATATGAACGTCTTTCCCAAAATCTTAAAGAAAAACTCGAAAATTTTCCATTTTCTAACCTACAGAAAAACTGACAGTTTATTTTTTTTATAAACTAATTAGTTCAATTAAAGTCAAAGGAATCAAAAATAGCACCTCCATTAGATGGTGACTCTAGCAAATCGCCATCTAGTGGGATGTGTTTTAGTGCTTTCTTTTCTTTAAAATATTTCCTCATTGCAGATCTTGAACACCTAATATTGGCAACAAATATCGAAAAAACTGTGAAAGATGTAGCCTGCCAATGAGGAACTATTTAAAAAAAAACGAAAGCACTAATAAAGCACCTCCACTAGATGGCAACTCTAGCAAAAGTTTGATTTTTGCAGGAAACGATTGGACCACTCCTTTTTTCCGAATTTCCGTTCCTTTTAACTAACATATTAAAAAACTTAAATTTGCAAAGTTCGAAACTTAGATATCAATACAAATACGAAAAAGTACAAATATGTATAATATGAGTTGTTTATTGAGTTTTGAAAACGTATTTACTTTTAAACATGAAATAAAACCGTAAGGGTTGTCATGGAGAAATTAAGAACGTACCGTAGCGACATCTAGTTTGATTTCGGAAACTAATTTATTTTTTTTAAATACTTGCTCATTATATACAAGATTTATTGCAGATCGCAAATATATATAGATATTTATACCGATATATAAAGTAAACGATTATAAATTATCTCAATACCAAGTTGAAGGCCATAGAAGCCAGGGCCGGTAAAACCTTTTTGAAAAAAAAGAAATACCTGGGTTGTATGGATCTAACTTCCTTTGCCCTTCCAAACAAGAGGGACAAATGAACCAAAAAAAAAACTACATTGATAAATAAAGTTGAAGTAAAATAAATATATTTTTAAATATACTTTGATTCATAAAAATTTAATAAATTGCCATCTTAATGGACGAAGACAGCCAAGATGCAAAATTATTGGGATCTCTTTCGTAAGTGCAAATCCCATTCTTTGCTTGTTCAAATATATTATTTAATTTATTGCTATGCATTTTTCATACATTAATTTTATCGTTATTACATTTAAAAATAATGGAAGTACAACTTCCCTTTTGTTAAATATGATTTTATTTTCAATAGGAAACACAGAAGCCCTACTTTTACTAAAGAGGAAGTTAAATGTCTTATTAATTTAATAGAAAAATATAAAAACATTATTTTAAGCAAAGCTACAAACAATTCGGCTTGTCATGCAAAAGAGATGGCTTGGACTAAATTAACAGAAGTATTTAACTCACAAGGTTTTAAACACAATAGAAGTACTGAAAACATCAAATGCAAATGGGATAATTTAAAGAAGGAAGCTCGGAGGGTATCTAAAAATTTAATGGATATTGACCATGAAGAATTTGATGATATTATGAGTCAAATTGTAAATTTACTTGTTGAATCTGAAAGCATATGTGAAATCAAAGATTTTTCTGAGGAACTCAAAGGTATAGAAGAAATAAATAATTATTAATTATTGCACCATAGGATATTAATGTCTCCAGTGATAGCGCACAGGCCTACCATGTAGATGGAGTAGAAATAAGAAGCCTCACCTGAGTGAATTGGTGTATGTTAACAACTGCAGATGCTGCTGAAACCACAGCTTAACATGAGCTTGAGACAAATTTTGGTGACCCATTATACAACAAGCTCTTGCAAAAATCGCTTATATTCTGCATTGTAGACCATATATGCTCCACTGCATCATCAACCATCACTTAAAATTAAGTTTAAAATATTAATTATTTATGTTTTTGTTGTGTTTGTTATAGTTAGGAGAAGGTTCTTATAAAAGAAAAAAATAAGAAAATTGTGTGGAATATTTGAAAATTTAAGGATATTCAACCACCATATATTTTTTTACAATCTTAACTTTTTTATAACCTTATCACATTTAACAAAGAATTGACAGTATTCATGCCATAAATATTAAAATTTATTTGACAAAACAGGTCTTTGTCTGTTCTGTGAGCTAGTTAAAAAATATTTTTTGAGCTTTATTACTAATTCATTAAATCATCTACAATTTTTTTTCAGTATTAGAGGATGAAAATTCAAATGTACCACAACATGATTCTGAAAGATACTGGGATGAGGAGACTAATAAAGATCTTAATACACCAACAGGTAAAGTTGTTAAACATTCTGATATATCCATCCTATTAGGAGAACTAATAGGACATTTGAAAAAATTTAATAGTAAATTTAACTAATAGAGAAGAAACCAATTTGTCTTATACATTGTAAAATAAAGGGAAATATTTTAGAATAACAAAATTAATCTAAATGTGTAAATCGAAATATAAGATTTGATGAACATTAATTGTTAACCTTAATTCCACTTAATTGTAATATCATAAGTGGAGTTTTAAATTAACTTTAGAATTTTGGTATATTGTGGTAACCTGACATGCAGCCATATGTTTATGTAGAGAGCCTGCTGATTAGGTTAAGGCAGGGGTCGGCAACCTGCGGCTCGCGAGCCACATGCGGCTCTTTGGCTGGGAAGCTGCGGCTCTTATTTCCGAACACAAATATTATTTATTTTATATAAAAAAAATCATTTTAAAACTTTCTGAATCAATTAACAAAGATTCGGCACCACTTCTATCTCTCAGCCACATAGTCTTTGCTTGTACCCGCTTTACACCCGCTCAGTCTGGACGAGGCTATTGAAGTACAAATTAGTGTTGTAACTTTGTAACTCTCACCGGTCGTGTCGGTCAACCGTCCCATCGGATATAGAGAGTGGAAGGAAGAGAGAGTGAACTCTAAGAATGCGAAACCTAGTTGGTCACAATAAGCAAAGTCCTGCGCAGTAAGTCGATGTCAGTAAGAGTAGGACTACATTACTTATTTATTGTAGGATAAAAACATTTTGTGGTTCCTTAAAAACTTAAAAATGTTGTAAATTGTAACTTTTGGCTCTTTTGACTCAAAAGGTTGCCGACCCCTGGGTTAAGGTAATAATGATGTTTATTTAAATACAGCCCTAAATTAAATGGTATAAGAGCAGTAATAATTTAAAACTATTTCCAGGCGTTGGGGCACCAAATTTATCCTATTGATTTTCTTTTTGTTTTTGTTCAATTCATAATTAATTGCAGAAAGGCATTATGTAATAAACTGATGAGTATATCTTTTTTCCAGACAATCATGATATGAGACCAAGGTATTTTGATATTCATTTACTTTTATATAAATTAGGGAAAATGTAAATACACTTTTTAATTCTAAGGTTTGTTATTAATAGGACAATGAACTTTACACCACAAGAATGCAGTATACTACTAAAGTGTGTTAGACAAGAGAAGAAATATGTATTTAGCAAAATCCATACTGGAAAAGCAATAAGGTTGAAAAATCAGGCATGGATGAGGGTATGAATAAACTAAACTTATAATTTTTTTATTTATACTTTTATAATATTTGTAATCAACACGCATTCTAATGTGATAAAAAGGAAAACATGATCAAGTACCAGTCATACTCGCCTATGAAAGGTTCTATAAGTGCATGTAGCTGTTACATAAAGTCAGACAGATAGACAAACACAACGAATCTATTATTTCTGTTTTTTAACAGAATGCTCATGAGACGTCTACTGTACTGTATACAGAGATTGATAGCAGATTTTTAAATAATCAGGGTTTGGAATGATAATTATCATTGACAATCTTATTATGCATCAGCAAAATTCAACACTGCAATTCAGTCATGTTGCAACATAATTATTTAGGTAGCAATATTATACAATTGAGTAGCAAAGAAAACATTTTTATGAGCAGTCTATTTAATTGGTGTGCATATTAAAATTTTGGTTAGTTATTTTAAATCAAAAATGTATAAAATTTCAAATTGATATCAAGTCATGTAACCACAATTGACAATTTTCCTCAGTAGAATTTGAACTATATCCTCTCAGTTCATCTTCATCTTTTCTCAAAAGTTCTGCACATCATTGGATTAAGGTTTTAAATGAAGTGGAGAAATGTGACATCTATACTTAATATTATAAAGCAGAAGAGTATATTTGTTTGTATAGAACCCACTACTAATCTTAGGAGCTATTGGTTGGAATTAGAAAATTATTTTTCTATTGAATTGTCTATTTATTGAGGAAGGCTATAGGATATATAACATCTGGCTGTAACTAATAGGAGAGAAGCAGAATTGAAAAATAATGTAAAAACGGGAAATCTAGGCGGCGAAGCTGCTGAGTTTGTGTGTTAGTGCTATATTATTTTTATCAACCATATAATTTACTTTCTAAATAAGCTGATAATTTTTTTTTTTTTGTTATTTCAGATAACACGTTGCTTTAACAAATTAAGCCCTCAAAAAAGGTCAACTAAAATGCTACAAACCAAATTCACAAACATGAAAAAAGTGGTTAGAAAAGAAACCAACTCTCTCTTCCTGAATGATATAGAAAAAAATATGAAACTCGAAAATTATAATAGGATTAAGGTATCAACTTTTCTAATACTACCTACCTACTAATTATTATAGATAGTTCTTTCGTGAATATGAAATCAATGTATTAATTAATTATATAATAATTCAATATTTGTGAGTTTGTTTGAATGGCATGTAAATTGATTGATTAATTATTTTTCTTTTGTTATTTTTTTGTGGAATGGAATTCATCGATTGCGTAATTTTTTCAATTCGATATCTTCGTATGCAATGGAACAGGGCAAAAAAAGCAGCCCTTGCTAATATTATTATATAATTATACCTGTTCTTGTTAGTTCAGGGTCTCCCGCCATATAATTATACCTATAAAACTTATATATTTTTATTATAGATGGCATAGAAGTTTGACTCTCTGAGCAGCTTAGCTAGACTAAAAAAAATTTTTAGGCTTTGATATTAGCTACCTACTACCTAGTGACAGCATTGCATTGGTTACTATATTCCTATTCCAGTATTGGCCTAGTTGACCTAAAGCACAATTCAGTCACTATGACATGAGAGCTATTGTTTGTATCTAATGGATGGAACTATGATAAGTTCATCCAGGGGTGGACTGCGATGGGCTGATGATGATAATGATGTAATCATAATATGGCTTAAAAAAGTACTTGCGGTAGTACTAGTTCAGTACTAAAAGTATTTTATCAACTTTTCAGAAAATAAAAACAGAGCCAATGTTTTGCTCGGAAGATGAAACGGAACAGGATATCGATGGTAACGTTGAGCAAATTGATGATTCTGTGGAGAATTTTGATGAATTAAATAGTGACAACAACAGTAATAATGAAGCCCCGGACCCTCTCTCTACCGTGCTTAGTAGCGATTCGGGTTTCGGTAAGTTTGCAACATTCATTAATTGTTTCATCTTATGCAAGACCTTATTTGCGAATTTATTGCTATACTAGCTTTCCGCCAACAGCTTCGCTGGCGTGGTCCCTAGGGAACTGTTTAATGGGATAAATAGTAGCCTGTATGTTTATCCAGGCATAGATCCAAATAGCTATTATAAATATTCTATATAACCGCACACGCAAAACCAAATGTGACATTGAATGGATTTTGTTCTTCATTACTAGTAAGTCAAGTGATAAGAGAACTTAATACATAAAAGTAATGTTCATTTGGTTTGTGGCCACAATAAGTTACGGCCAGTGTAACGCCAGAATTGTATGTCTATACGATTTACTTTAATCTGGTTAAGTTTGGTTTTTATCAAGAAATTTCAAGAAAAATATATAAATATTCTTATTTATAGTGTATGCACAGCCGCACGTCACGCTACACACCACCACCGTAACCAGATCTCTGTTAGTAGGGAAGTTCTATATGAAGCCCGGTCGGTACATAGTCCACAGTGTATAGTCAGACGTGCAGCCGTGTGTACATACATTTAAAGTTCCATAATATAGTTATATTGTTGATTTTTTAGCTATATAGCTAATCGACGTTTAGTTAAGTAGTTGCATAACGCTATTCAATCAAAGGCCCGACCGAGTAACAAGATTATTGACAACTTTTTTAATATCTTTAAATGAAGTTGTAGATTATGATCGTTCATATATATTTTTTGCCAATTATACAAGATAAATCCAAAATTCAATTATAATTAAATTTTCAATTTTGTTTCGGCGGCAAAACATCCTTTAATGTCCGCCATATTATGACGTCAATGCTTAACTTACTTTGACAGCGATACAGCGATCGTGCGGCTCAGTGGGAATATCGATGAACACGTTTTATTATAATTTACAACGTTTAGACATCAAAATTGAACTGTCTTTATAATTGTAAATATTTTATGAGGTAGAATTTTAGACGCGCGAGGTTTGACATTGAAATCGTGTGACACGCAGCAAAAATAGTGATTTTATTTCACAAAGATACACGTTTTGAACAGATTTATTAAAAGTTGCTAATTGAAAGTTAAATAAATTAAATAAATAATCCTTTTTTTAACATAGTGTCATATAACCAGTTGGTTTCTACTTATACACGATTGTTGTTTTTTATTGTTTTAGGTTTCATGAGCAACGATTCGGAAAAATACGCAGAAAATAAAGAAATCGCAAAATTGAAATTAGAATTACTACAATGTCAATTGGAAACAGCCAAAGTAAGTTCATTCCTGTTTCTATATTTTCAATTTGAACTAGTAAATTGTTAACTCATAATGAGTAAAAATAATGCAAGAACTCGCATACAACATAACTAAATAAAAAATATTAATAAATCTACCTTAATTGTATCATACTCGCCCAATAAGTTACACAGGCATTAAGATTTTTGCGCTATAAATTAAGAACTTTGTGACACTGCCGGTAACTTTGTAGCTTACATTTAATTATTAACTTATAATACTGTTTTCTCGCAACTCGGGCTGTGTAAGTTATAGCCTATGTCGCTCTATGAAGTACCTTCCCGTAATTTTTTTTTACTCGGTTCCGTTATTTTGGAGCGTCAAAATGTAAACAATTAAAAAATATTTTCACTTATGATATTAGTATAGAAAAACTGTTTCATTCACCTCTTTTTATTTAACAGTTAGAAAGAGAAAGGATAGAAAAAGTGATGCGGGCTGAAGCTATAGCAAACGAATCAAAAGCGATAGAGACAGCACTACGCCTGCGCGCTGCCAGATTAGAGGCTGTCTCAGCTGCGATGAAACTAACTTCCGGACATCCCGCTTTACAGTTTTCGCATGAAGAAGCGTGTGCGCAACAATATCTAAGTCAGTTCCATCAAACTTGAAAGAATAAAATGTGGTTTTCTTTGAAAGTTGACCTAAAATTGAGTCTATGTGAAGTGAGCCAAGTTGCTGACTTAAATTGGAGGATTTTTCAGTGCTGGAATACTATTGAAGAAGCGAAGTATTTCTTGGCCATTTATGTTTATTGAAAAGATGAGAGGTCAGTTCTTTTTTGTTATCGTTTAGTGACAAATTCTTTATTTCATATTTTATAAAAAAAAAACTGCATTTTCAAGTTTTGTATGTAAGTTTTAAATGGAAACAACAAAATAGATACGAAAATTTGTATATTTTACTTGATTGCGTTTTACAAGATGATTAAATTACAATTAATTCAATAAAAATTATTATTTTTTAATATGCATTTGTACAATTTCATCTATACCTAACTAAACTACGATGTCTATGAAATATATTACACAACACTATATAATATACAACATGTTTTTTACACAGATATAATATCCTACATCTATCTACTCGATATTTTAAAAAGTACAAAATGTAGGTACGTACAATGCTATTGTAATCAATAAATGTTAAGACAAGCCATATGTATTATTGAAAAAATATTTTTAAAACAAATTTTAGATTAATTGAGCATGTCCAACGGTTAAAGTCAGTCGTGTCATTCTATTTATCTGACATTGACATATCCGCGCCACAGCCCTCGATTATTGAAAATTATTAGCCATCAAATCCTTGAATGTAATACTTAAGTAACTAATGGAAGAAGCTGTGACGTATTATATTATGGTCTAAGTAGGAATCAATATTTCAAGAAGTTCGTAAGTACTTATCACGTGTCGCAGAAATGTGAGGAACTTTGCCACATTACATTGTAATGTCGTTTCGATGTTCTGTGGTCCGAATTGTGTTGATAGTTTTCTTTACAAGCTATACATAAATTGCACTGGCATTTTAAACATTTAGTACTAAATTGAAGACATTGAAACTTCTTAGATTAAATAGTAACATTATGAGCCATTTTATCCATTCTATTACCGATAATAAACTATAAACTGTTCTGCGGTTGTTTCGAATCAATATTTAATGTACATTAATTTGTAATATATTTTATCAGTGTAAATGCGCCTGCGCATTAGTTGCCTGTAAATGGGCATTTTTCAAAATCAAATTTTACTTAATCGGAAATAGAAAGATGTTACTCTCTGCACAATCGGTCAATCGACAGAAATGCGTTACTAAGCACTACTTAATTTTAACAGAACATGCTTCCCACGTTGTCTTACGAATCAAGTAGCATGTTTTAAATAAACAAATTGCTACTTCGTATCGACAACATAAAGTCGCACGTTATCATTCACATACACATTCTACATTAGTAACGATATTGTTGCAAAATTGTATAAAATTGGACGGACAACTCAACTCACTACGGCAAATGAGCATCCAACTCTCTAAATTGTTACAAATCCTGTTATAAAGTAACAAAAGAACTTAAGTAATGGCAGCCTTCCTTTTTTAAAGTATTATGCTAAACCTAAATTAGAAACTCTGTTATTTGTCATCGCGTTGGCAGTATACGTTTTTCTATATTGTACGTCCTATGTCAACAATTTCTTTGGTATTGAAGCGTACGGCTCTGCTTTAATAAATTCACTTGCGAGCGATAAGCCTGAGAGCCGTCATGACATCTCTTTACGTCACAAAAATCTAAACAACGTTCAATAGTCCATCATATATCATATCTTCATCTCGCCGCCTGCAGCGCAATTCGCCAGAAAAGACACGAGTAAAAAAACTTTCGTGTCATTCGGTCACGCTTTTCGAAACGTCCCTTTAGGAATCTCAAGCCGTATTGGAACGTGACATCACTCGTTGTATTGGATTCCATCGGCAGTGTATTTTCAGGACATCCTCAAGAGTTATTTTATTTATATCTGCAGAGTGGCTAGTGAAGGTATGCCACTGCCGCTGTGGGGAGTGAGTGGTGTGAGGGGAGTAGTGGGCGCGGAGGGGGGTACCGCTGTGGCGGGAGTGAGAGGGGTATCTGGATGCGCCAGGGGTGGATCTGCGGCCCTCACTAGCACTCTTCTCAGGTCCTGGGCGCGGGCCGCTAGAACTTTCGCTGCTTCCGCCATTTCTGCGACTGCGCTCGCGCACGGGAACTGTTGCGCGGCCGCTTTAGTTTTGGCGACCGTCGCGGCCAACGCGTCCGATAGCGCGTCGGAACATCGCAGTGCTCTTGATTTGAGACTTGCGTGTTGGGCGCTCCTGCAAAAAAATTGGTGATTAAAATTGGCCTTCATTTAAAAAATATACATTTGATCCGAATGAAATAGTTTATTGACACAGCGTAAATGTATTTTAGCTGACTTGACAGTTCTAGCTTACGTCGGAGCACACTTGCCAATCGTTCTACATCACACCTCGCGCTGCCTCGTAAACAACTGTTTTCAATACACACACATAGTTTATAGATAATGTCATTCTTAACATATATCTTTTATATACGTGTGAAAATATAAGTGATTTCAGTGACAATCTTGGTTTTCATTTGCGACCTTCTGATAAGAGAGTTTTAAACTCCGGACAGTTACTTGTCAATCGCGGACAAAAGTATTGCGTACCTATGCACTGTGTCGCCGACGTGCACGATCCGATGCGCGCTAAGCACGACAAACTTGCCGTGCGCTAGGAACACATCAGGCGGCTGGCCCATCTCGACGGTGCGTAAGAATGCTTCTAGCGCGGTCGCGAGGTGTGCGCCGTACGTCGCCGTCTGTGCCGCGTAGAATGCCGCCAACTGTCGATCGTCAGCCGGCAGTTGCGTTGCAGCCGCTACCGCGCTCACCTGCAAACAAAACATATAACACTGACTGCTGTACACCGAGCTGATATCCACAATTCTACTATTGATGTTCCCACTGCTAAGATACAGGGCTTTCTCTATGGATGGAATCCAATAGGGAGAATTTGATGTGACCAATCACGCGGGCCCAGAGTAACGGTTTAACGTGCCTTGCGAAGAGACGGGGAGACTCGAGATAGTCAAGTATTAGAGTTACCATAAGTTCGGAGAGAAGGTTTCTATGTACCCGTGTCTTCTTTATCTGTGAAGAAGAGGATTCTAGAAAAGGTCTTGAAAATATCCTGAATATTAGGATATCGACTTTTGTGACCCATCTCCACCTTAGCTACCCACATCGTAAGGGATTTTAGTAGATGCGTTATATGAGGATTTCAATCAACAATAAAGAGTTTCCAGAAAAGTCATGTTATATAGATAAAGAGCGTTTTTCTCTTTCTTTCTAGTCATTAAGTATTATTTACTACTGAATATTTGTCCACCAATCAGTCGGTTACGTCACAATAAAGATTTATCAAAATCAGATAAAATTGAATATCTAGCTTACCTCGCCCGCGTGGTCTGCGTCTCTCACTAGAGCGTCGAACGAAGCTCTCAACTTGTCCGGTAACGCTGCACGGATTTCAGCATGACGTCGGCCTACTGCGGATCGTGACTCTAATCGCACATAATCGTATTCCTCCGTCCATTCATGTTCCGGTGCTGAGATCGTCGCCGATCTTCTGCAATAGAAAAAAACATATAGATATTTTACAATATTAGGCGGTACGTATTCTGATTTTCTAAACATCTGATTGCATTGACAAAGTGGATATTTTAATCATTTTTCATAAATAAGTTTATGTCGACTAACCTAAACAGCAGCGATGCATTCCCGTTAATAAATGAAGCAGCTCTTCGCACGTCTTCTGTTAATGATCTCGCACACGCCACCAGTTGGTCGAGCGCGTCCTGCGTCCCGTCCGTCGGCTCCCGGTCTCTCTCCAGGCGTTCCGGCGCCCAGTCGCCTGCGTCCAGCGCGCTCGTCGCCTCATGCGTTATACGTTCAGCGTCTTTCAACGCTTTCACTAGTGGCCTTAATTTTACTGCGATACCTAAAATCAAAAGTTGCTTTTTACCTTCCACCACGTAGACTAGCAGTCTAACTCTTTATTAAATAAAGAAGGTTTTCATGACAGGAGGGTGCACAAAGAAAAGAATAAATCATGAAATGATTGCGCTTGTCTCGTAATTCGTCATGATCATTATGTTACATATTTTCTATGAGATAATTTTCACTATGTAATTTATACATTGAGTTTGCAAAGAAGATAAATCCCCGTTAATAACGAGCAACGTTACCCAAGAAAGATATCATCCCTTTAATAATGCAACAATTTAGTTGGAAATCCTTAATTTGGTTTAAAGTTCAATAGAAATATTAATGTGCGTACCTTTGTCTTGCGCATCGTGCGCGTTGGCCAGCGTGGCATCGGCGAAAACTGCGAGGTCGTGTAACGCGGCTCTTAACCGCGCCCCTGCCACGCGCACGTCTAGAACGCGCGCCCGCAACGCGCCTCGCCGTCGCCAACCTGGTGTCACGTATGACAACAACCTGGATACTGCCGCTGAAGCCTCCTCCTGGAGATTGAGAGTTTATATAAAAACAAAGATTGTTAGAAGTTCAGATTTGAAGTTTGCCATCATTCTTAAAATTTATGATGTTCTTTTTATTCACCGCTTCCCACCCAGACAGGACTTTTTCAGTTATTCTTCACATACTTTAGCGGGTGGGATTTGCCTCCTAATTTGTTTGTTAAATTGATGTGTCGTGTTAGTGATACTTAATAGAAGAAAGTTACGGGAACTCACTTGTAGTCTTTCTAGCGCCTCTAGCGCCGCGTCACACGGTAGAGGTAGAGCACGTGACCGCGGTACATCGTACGTGCTGGACGTAGCAGAATGTATTGAGCTTCCGGAGTTGGCTGACGCACTTGAAGTAGCAGAGGCTAGACTGCCAGTACCGCTGCAAGCGGAGTCAGCGCTCGCTGGACGAGGCGCGCGCGGTGCGTCGTACCAATCCGTCAACGGTCGAGGACAGTCGTACGTTCCTAAACGATTCACTGGCATAGGCGCTCGGGGCACGTCGTAATGTGAACATTCCTCAATCTAGAATACACAAGAATCAAACTTATCGAAGGAATAGGAAAGTACCTATACTTAAAATTAACGTCAATTTGGAATACACTGTTCCCACGCAACAGTTTACAAAGAAAACCAGTTAATACGAAACGGGAGGAAATTAAATAAGGGTTCCTTTTAATCAAATGCCGGTTAAAAGACTTCGCTCCAGTTAACTTGAAGAGCTTGTGAATCTTTGATAAGTTAACTTGCAAAATATACCTACATGTTGATTGAGTTAGGGGCTCTTTGTAAATTACTTTTATAATTATTATATAAGTATAAATGAAAAAGTATCTTGAGAAAATGTCATATCGAAAGCAATTTTTTTAACCAATAGAAGAGAATTTGAATTAAGTAGGTAAGTTAATAATAATAATATCCTAAAGATTAACAGTTCTTATTTCATTTATATTCTTGTTTATATTATCAAGTAATTACTTCTCTCGACTATAAACATGAGTGTTGTTTCAACAATAATGAGAGCCGGTAAAATCGACCTGCTATTATGGATTTGTTCCCGGTTACATTTACAATTATTAGCATCCAAGAATTATTTCCTAGTGTGATTTTATTCACAGGGAAAGCCGCTATTATAGATATGGGGTCGTTAAAAGATATTATGATGATTATGAATAGATTTACAATAGTTTTACCTTAGTAAAGGCAGGCGATGGTTGTGCGGGAAGCGGCTGATGTGAGACTGGTGCAGGCGGCCGTGCGCGCCGTCTCTGCATCGCTGCGCCAGCGTCGAACACGCCCGCTACTATCCGTAGCCTGTTCCCGGGGCATATTCCCTACAATGCGAATGATAACATTTATTTGTTCTCTTTGAATTTTACACGCACAATTGTCTATAAAATTACGAATTCAATAGGGCCTTTTACTACAAAACCAAAAGCTGAAGGAAAAGCTGTAACCTACCTATTTTAAAACTTTTTTTTATAACATAATGCTACTCAACTTACTAATAATACGCGGCGGCTCTTACGTTTAATCTTACGTATGTAAGATTAAATGTCATATTAAATATATTTGTTACTTTTGACGCTACCCTATCGAGGGATAATGAGTAATTTTTGTGTTTGTCCGTCTGGTAGATTACCTACTGAAGAATATTAAACACGTATTTTTTTTCGTAATTAATAAATAACGGCAATACATTGAGTTGAAATGTCGCACGATGACACACCTTTGTACATTTTTTACTTAGTTGCAAGGACGTAGCAAGTCCCAACATCTCAACTTTAATCAGCAAGTCCCAACTTCTCAACTTTAATGCCTATTATCTATGCCATTTCTTGTTATATTAAAGCGGAAAGAAATACGTAAGTAAGTATCTAAAATTTTTCTATTATTTTACTGACAGACTAAATGGAATTTCTTTTTTTTTACCCAGTCATCGTCCCTACTACGCGAGGCGACAACCGTTAGATATACACGCCTCATATACCTAACCTTAATATTTGAGATTTTGTTTAAGGAGTGTAGAACAAAATGATCGATCATACTCGTATATAGTATCTTTATTCTACGAAAATTCGTCACACACTTGTTATGACGTATAAGGCAACATAAACTAAATTATCTCCATGACATAAAGTGTATACGTGAGATACGTCATAATTAAACTCGACATAAACAGTTATTAATACTATGGAGTAGATACCTACTACGCCAATGACCTCTGATGTGTCATTAAAATAATAATTTATTGTTTTCAGTAGTTCACCATATACGTTCTTGTTCGTTCTTAATCGTTGTGCTTTAACCACAAAACTAATTATAAACAAATATCTCAATATTCTTCATCTCAAATAAAGCAGACCTTATTTCATGGAGAGAAAGAAAGGGGGCCACAACCACTCAGACCCTGGACAGTATCGAATTTTTTTATAAGTTTTTTTTTTACATATTTTCTTAGCTTTAAATTCGCATGGAAGACTCTCGGCTACAGAGCAATTTAGAAAATATTTTCAGTTAAATTTCGAGTAACATACAGGTCCTTTATGATTTTCTTTTGATATTTTTTTAGACACTTATCTAAGGGCTGGGGCATATCTTTTGAAAGAACCCTAGCGTCGACGGTATTCATTAGTGTAGTTCATCATCGATTGATTTTGCAAGGTTTAACATTCAATATGACATTTGTCTGTTCTTATGCGTTACCCGATTAAACGTGAAGCATTTTCTGTTAGATATTCACCGACCTTAATATCTTGTACTTGGGCAATTGATACATATGGTAAACAGATAGGTTCTAACCCTCATTTATTTACACCGATGGTATTAAGTTTGAAATGAGATGTTGAAGTGATGGGTACCTGTCGTCCTCTCAGCGAGCATAGCCACCACCCTTCGCTGCCACCAGTGTTCTGCTCAAGAACAGTGAGCAGATCGCCTCGCCGGAACGCCAGCTCGTCCGGTGATTCGGCGATATTATCGTACAGAGCGCGCGCCATGCACTGCAACAAGAACAAATATACCAATAAATACATACTATTCCAAAAATAATACTATGAATTATTTTTTCTTATTTTATTGCTAAGCACTGTCTTAGATACACATAAACTGTGAATGTATGCACGTACATACAGCAGCACGTCACGCTAAAATTTCCAGCATGGTTTTCGAAAAATAAATTGACAGTGACAGAAAAATAAACGTGAAATTGAGACGTGATAACTTATTTTGGTCGGATAATGGCTAAAACTTGTACTAGAGTTAGTCCTTCTTTCATAATAAGACGGTATATGTAGAGATCAGTATAAACCATATTTTAATAATTTTACTGGCATTCTAAATCAAATCAAATTACTGTCTTTCAAAAACCATCTGTAATGCTAGCCGTTATTGTACTTAGGAAATATTGAATAGTGGTCCAGATGATAGGGTAACTCGCGCACAATCTTTAATGTGCTTATTAACATTCGACACCGTATCGCCCACATTTGGCACATGCGCGTACGCAGCTGCGGGGCGGCCGGATTGTCTGATAATAGCAAAGCGCATTGTGCAAGAGAACGGCAAACTGCCGTTTGTTGGGGCAGGCCATGTCCGCTTCCGATACAATCGTTTATGCAACCAGACACTGATAACAGGATCGTATTATAAGTTTATATAAATATAAGTAATGTGAAGTATGTCAGTTAACTAATTACATTTTAAATCTTACTCGTATTATTATCAGTAACAAATTTTGTATTTTTAGGTTTTGCCATTTGTTAATGCTAAAAATCTACGTTTTTTTATGAAATTTAGCACAGATATTTACATATAATGCCTTACTTCGTTTTTTTATTATAAATCTCATTTTTTTGTGCAGTCAAGAGTATTTATTATTATTAAGATATACAAACTCAATAGCTTGTACCAATCGTCCACCCAATACATCGTGATAATTGGTAGTACCTAATTATTAAGGTACCTACTTATTTAATTTTACCATATCAACTTATTTACTGCAACAAGAAGACATTAGCATTAGTTAAGACAGCCTGCTGCTAGTTTCAATTATTTTAATATTTTCATTGCTAGTATGAGATCACAATATGAGTTCATCAACATAAAATGTCTTATAGTATTTTTTTTTACCTACTTATAAGAGGAAGAGTCTATATGTTACGCGCGCTTAAAATCTTAGCTTAAAACCATTCAATTTTTTTTTGTTATAAAAACAAATAAACTGAACAAAAAGGTGTATATCTAAATATGTCTAGAGCAAGCCCTGCATACTTCGAGCCGCCTCATCTTGCAAACTTGTATATTTCAACTCCTTTATGCCTTTTTCATAACGTACATCAGAAGTTCCCAATCAAGTTTTTCGCGATCATTTTAAAAAATTTACTGGTTTCGGCGGACCCCCTGCTGCTACATTTTTACCATATTCCCAAAATTCGTCCAAAATGTGAAGATCTAACGATGGAAATTGGCGTCGCGGGTGAGTACGTAGAACCCGGTTAAATCCCTCGTGGCCCCTTTGGGTCTACCTGGACCACTTAGGGAATCACTGTCGTACATCTTTAAGTCGGTGTACCAAGTTTCATTAAAATTGTTTTAGTAGTCGTAAGAGACACACAACAGAGAGAATGACCTACTTCCGCGTTTATCATCATAGCTTAGATATTACTGCCTACTCGCTGAAAAGATCATTTTAAAGGTACAGTGGGCGAAAGTAGTTTTACTGCTAAATATCTTCCAGGCAACTTTAGTCATAGGACATAGTTATCGACTACGGAGGTAGTGAGCAAATGGTTTCGTAAGTAAATCCTGTGGTATTAAGTAGTAATAAATATCAAATATTGAATATAAATATCAAATAAGTGTTTTGAGTTTATCCACTACTTACACTTACGCTTGAAGCTAAACAAAAAAAAACTAATATTTTGTTTATTTTTTGGTTGCCGTTCCTCTTTAATAGTTATATGTATATCTTACTACCAACCTTTTTCTTCGAAGCTCTGAAACTTCTTCGTATAAATCCTTTACAATTGCACATAATATATTGTATATCGATTTTCTTTATTTGAACAACGGTCGCTTTAACACAATTAACACCTGATGTACTCATTTAATTTTCGTTAATTTCGTTGATATTATTTGTAGAATAATATCATTTAATATTGTATTTATTGACGCGTATTTCTGACTCAAAGTGAGCAATGTAACTGAAAGATCTGCCTCTCCACACTATTCTCTTCATATAATCAAAATAATATTGGTGTATTCAATAGAAGTGACTGCGCGGGCGCTTGAGTCATCATCAATGAAGTGACGCCATCGATCTCGGTTCAATCGCTGCGGTATTGTATCACTTTTAATTAGTTATTGAATTAAAACGGTTACTATTGATAATTTTGTAAATGATTCAAGAATCGTAAATTATTTCCCGAAATAGGATTTGTAAATACACCATTCATTTTTGATTTTTTAAATCTAAGTAGTTTTGATTTCAAAACTTTTCCATGTTTATGAAAGTAGATAGGATACTATCGTACTACAAAATTCTTTCAACAATGTGCTACCTATATAATGTTATACCGGTGTATTATATAGCTATGCAATTTTATTAAAAAACAGCCTCTATCTCGACCTCGACTTATCACGGCATAGAGCTTCAATGAAATATAACCTTTATTACCTTTCCAAGTAGGGTTTATTTGATTAAACCTCTACGCATTGACAACTCTGCTTTCGGCGCCGATTTCTACTGATTTTGTGACAAAATAGCACTGAATGTCGTTGTCACTACTGTACACCTTTTTACACAATGTTTTAGTAAAAAGGTGAAATATCGTCTTACATACTCTATGTCTAAGGTCTTACCGAAAATAATTAAAATGAATATAGCATGAAATGATTTCTATACTAATATCTTACTAATGTTATAAAGAGGTAGTTTCTAACTTGTTTGATCCGATCACGACGATATCCGCAGGTGACATGGGCTATAATTTACACTGTTGAAGTCGCGGGAAAACAGCTAGTATTAGATAAATTGTTGATTTGATCATCTTATCTGCTTCGAAACTGTACATGTTCTTGTGTGCAACCTTCATCGTGAATGTCCAATTTCAGCGGGAGGAGGTCTTTTAAACTTATCTTTGTTAAGTAACATCCTCCGGTAACGGTAACAGTAACGGGTTGCATTCTCTGAGGTTTGTGTAATTATTAGTTTTAATTCATAGTGCTCCCTTATTACTTATCTTAGAAAAACATATCAATATTTTTATCTTCATTTTGTTTATACTACATTTGGGACCTTTTCTTAATCAAATGTAAAATAATATTCATTCAGTCTAATCTTTAGTTGATTTCATAAGAGCTCTTGCATAGAAATTTTTCACAAACTGGCGAGATGACGAAGATGCACAACCGGATACTTACGAGGTTATATAGTGAATCATGGCGCCATTGGCACTAGAGGGTTCTCAGAAATAACCGGTATGCGACCTTTTGGGATCCTTGTGCGATTTTTATTGCATGCAACGTAGCATATTAAGCCGAAAACTTTTTTTTAAATTCAATCTATTGTATCCTATGACATAACTAAAAAGTATTGTGATAAGACATATATTGTATGAATTTAAAAACTTTTAGCGTATTTTAAACCCTATTACGTAAATGGTAAAATATCAGTCTTTTAAGAATAGAAAAATCCGCTTAAGTGCGAGTCGGACTCACACATGAATGGTTCTGTACCGAAAACGAGCAAAAAAAATCACTGTTGTTGTATGGGAACCCCCTTAAATTTTTATTTATTCTATTTATTAATATTTTTTGTTAAAGAGTAATAGAAATACATCATCAGTGGAAATCTCTCTAACTATCACGGATGTTTATTTTTTATTGCCCCTTTAAATATTTATTTAATTCTTTTTCTTAGTATTTGTTGTTATAACGGCAACAGAAATACATTATTTGTGAAGATTTTAACTGTTTAACTTTCACGGTTTATGAGATACAGCCTGGTGACAGAAGGACAGCCTGATGACAGAAGGACAGACAGACAGCAAAGTCTTAGCAATACAGTTCCCCCTTTTCCCTTTGGATACGGAACTCTAATGCATACATAAAATCATAATAAAATAAAATCCACATGTAATAATCAAAACTATCAACCTCTAATCGATTTAAAATTTAATCTCTATGATCTAATAAAACACTCGATGAAAATCGACCCTGATTTAAACTGTGTGAGGACATCTTTGTAGAATTTATAATAGACTTGTTAACAGTACACGTACAACACGTGCAGTTATCTTTACAAATAGGTATCATAAAAAGGACAGATTTTATTGTCGTTTGCATTGAATATGCTTAAAACTACTATACCTATTTCAAACCAACCACGGGAAAACAGTTACATTTAAAATAAAAATATGTCTTAATGCCTTTAAATTATACTATAATAAAATTTAAATAATTAAAAAGGTGTTTTTCCTGTTATGAATAAAATTTTAATAAAATAGGATGAAAACAATAGACGTGTCGTAAGTACCTATTTCAAATTAACCACAACTTCGATGAAATTCTTCAATATCATTTACTTTTAATAAAATGATGACTCGTTATTCTTAGTTCGAGGTCAGCCATATTTGTTAATGGAGCCATAGTATAAGTAAACGGAGAAATTCCACATAATTATTGTTGAATAGAATAAGGAAATTTTATTTTGTGAATACAAAATAATATAAATTAATATTTAGTCAATAATCAATCCTTTGTAGAAACTAACCACACGTTTGTCAGAATAAAACTGCTTACTTTCCAGGTATATACTTAAAAATATTTTTTAACACCAAAATAAATGTTACCACCATGAATTTATTATTTAAGGAAAAAATATGAAAACCAATTACGCCAGACTTTATCTCACATCCAATTTTCGCACTACATACATATTTGACTTCAGCCACTTCAGCTGTCTGTAGGCGGCGATTCAATTGAAGGTCACAGACAAATG